GCCTCTCACTGTTGTGGCCTCTCCCGTTGCGCAACACAGGCTCCGGACGCCCAGGCTCAGCGGCCATGGCTCACGGGCCCAGCCGCTCCACAGCATGTGGGATCCTCCCGGACCGGGGCACGAACCCGTGTCCCCTGCATCGGCAGGCGGACTCTCAACCACTGCGCCACCAGGGAAGCCCTCTTTTGATTCTTTATTTAACAATTTGACCTTTATTGTTAAATAAATTCTATTATTTAAGTAGATATAATTTGACTTTATTTCTTTCAGTGATGCCCAGTATTCCATAGAATGGATGTACCACATGTGTTTAACCAGTTGATTGGCCTAAATTTCCAGATTTTTAGCTATTTCCAATTAAGGGCAGAGTGAACATAATAATAGCTAGCATTTACTGATCACAGACATAGTTCTTAGTATATGGTAAGTCACATAACCCTTGTAACAGCCCAATGAGATATAGGCCCTCTTATTGCCCCTGCTTCACAAATAAAGGGACTAAGCCACAAAGAGGTCAGTAACTTTCCCGTGGTCACATATGTGGTAGTACTAGGTCTGGAATTTGAATCAGGCATCAGGTCCCAAGCCTAAACTTTAAATTAGTACACCACAGTCCCTGTGTATATGCTGTGTACCTGTGCTGAGATATCCATAGAATACATTTGTAGCAGTGCAGCTGCTGGGTCAAAATAAATGCATGTTAAACTTCAGTAGTGCTAAATGGTTAGGAGTTTATTTTATGAAGAGAGCAGCGTGCTTCTTTTCGTAATCAAGTACAGAGCCCACCTGTTTCCTGAGAAGAGAAGGGCCCCACCTCTTGTGCCCAGAGACCTCACTAGGTAAGGGTGTTTTCTTTGCGGTGGCCAGGGCTTTAGCTCTGAATCCTATCTAGCCTTCTCCTCTCTGGGTTGGACTGCGCTCCCAGGAGTCTTGGTAACCATGCTTATGCCCTATTACTAAGGCCACAGCCACAAGCTGCCAGAGAATTCAGCCCCTGGACTCCTTTTCTTTCTGTACCCTGTTGGTCTCTCAAGGGCGAGGGTACTTAACAACTAGGAGACTGCCCAGATTCCAGTTTCCTATTCTATCTGCAAGAAGAGAAAATGGCAGCCACCTAGAGAAACAGTTGGCTACTCTTTACTTCCCCACCTGAAGCTCCTACATCTAACTGCAAGGGACATCAATGTGGGGCTTCTAGGCCTGGATCCACCCCGGACCTGCACAGAAGTGGGAGGTCAGAGTATGTGGCATGGCTTCTGCATGGCAGTGGAGACAATGGAATCAACGTGATCTAACAATTCTACTTAAAGACTATAACCTAAGGATAAAAATAAGGATGTGCACACAGTCAGAATTATATATTGGCCAGCACTGTCGGTAACCTAAAGAGGCAATAACAAGGGATTAGTTAAATGATGGTAGGTACACAGTGAAATACAAGAGATCCATTAGTTTACAGACAAAACTGTCTGCAACTTACCGCTATGTCAGTGGTTCTCAAACGGGTGATTTTGCCCCCATCTGCACCAGCATGGGATATTTAGCAACGTTTGGGGATGTTTTTGGTCATCGCAACTTGGTGAGGGGGTTCGGTGGGGTGTGCTGCTGGCATCTAGTGGATAGGGAGAGGCCAAGGATGCTGCTAAACATCCTACAGTGAATGCACAGGACAGCTGCTCACAACGAAGAGTCATCCAGCCCAAAATGTCAGTAGTGTTGAGGTGAGAAATCCTGGGCCACAGGAGGGCAGACAGTGCCCAGCATGTGGCTGTCACCATGACACTCTCCGTTTTTGTTAACAGGGGCAAACACTTACGACTTATTCACCTGTAGCTTGCCACGTTTTAAGTGGTTTACACCCATTAACTCATTTAATCCTCACAACAAGTCTGTGAGGCAAGTTCCACTGTGATCATCCCATTTACAGATGAGGAACTGAGGCATAGGGCTGTAAAGTACTAGTTCAAGGTTCCCATGGTAGCAGTCTAAAAGCTTGGCCTCTCACAAGTGCTCATGGCAAGTGCTCCAGGACTTCTCTCCTCTCTCTGCTTCTTCCAGAACCTTGGGAGCACCAGGGGTTGTTTATATCTATACAAAGAGGAAAAAAAAAAAAGCAGTCAACTGGTCCTTCTCTTTGATTCTGACATTTCCAGTGGCTTTTGTATTTTTTTCTTCAGAGGGTTTAACTGAAATGAGTACTGAGGGCAGAGATTATGGACAACCATGAAAATTTACTTGTTGAGTTTACACAAAAAAATCCTCCTGTCACTCCTGCAGTGGTCTCTTAGGACTCTTTCAGCCTCTGGGCCTGCAGTCTGGGCAGCTTGGATAGTAGATTTGCTTAGACATGAGAGCAAACTTTATCATCCAGGAGGACAAGAAGGAGCTGGTGAGTCCGTTTTGGGACACCAGGGACACAGGGCTGTTCTGACTAGGCCCATAGTTTGGATGAAGTGGGTACTTCTCCATAGGAGGCCTCCAACAGATGGGAAGTTGTAAATGGGGTGAGGATGGCGGAAGAAGTGGGGAGGGATCTGTTGGATCAAAGCCAACTTTTCACCAGAGGAAATACTTATTAATTATAGGATGCCATAGGATTGACTTTGCCTCTGAGTGTGGGAGTAGTAAGCTGTGCTTTAAACAAACAGCCCCATCCCTCAGCAGTAATTAGCAGCAACAATAGGCATCTTCACAGGACCAGATTGACAGGTGGCTCACAACACACAGCCTCAAGCCTGGCCTGGAACCAGGCTTGGATGCTACACCTGTGGAGCCCGTCAGTCCATGCTTGGGCAGCCTAAGAGGCACCGGCACAGAAGTGACATACCCATTCTTGGGCCATTTGCTGGAAACTTGCTATGTACTAGGCACTGAGAGGAACACAAAAGAAATGTAAGACACAGACCATACCCACAGTCAAGAGAATCGAGGAGACAAGATTAAGTTTGAAAAGTTATAGTAGCACAGAAATACACATAACTGTCCCCCCATATCTGGGGATTGGTTCCAGAATCTTCCCCCCCCTTCACCCCGGAGATACCAAAATTCATGGATGTTCAAGTCTCCCGTATAGAATGGTGTAGTATTTGCATATAAGTTATGCACATCCTCCCATATACCGGTTTTTTTTTTTTTGGCCACGCTACGAGGCTTGCAGGATCTTAGTTCTCCAACCAGGGATTGAACCCGGGCCATGGCAGTGAAAGTTCCGAGTCCTAACCACTGGACCACCAGGGAATTCCAGTATACTTTAAATCATCTCTAGAGTACTTATAATAGCTAATGCAATGTAAAGGCTATTTAAATAGCTGTAAATACAGTGTAAATGCTATGTAAATAGTGGCTAGTGAGGGGGCAATTTCAAGTTTTGCTTTTTGGAACTTTATGGAATTTTTTTTTCTTGAATATTTTCAGTCCTTGGCTTGTTGAATTCACAGATAAGGAGGGCCAACTGTATATTACATATAAGGGATGTGGACCCTCAGAGCCAAATGGGAATTCTGGACCAGGTGACGGAAGGGAGAGAGGTCTGTATCACACTGGCATGTTTCTTATAAAAGAAGTAGGAAACACAAAGAAGAATAAAGAAGAAAATGAATCATATTAACACTTGTCAGAGATATACGTTGTTACTATTTTGGTTACATCCTTTAAGATCTTTTTTCTGTGCACATATATGGGTATAAACACGCACATTTCATTACATAAATGGGTTCATATGCTCATGTGGTACATACTGCTCTTTGTCTTGCTTTTTATACTTAGCGATAAGTTGTGGACAGTTTTCCTTGTCAGTAAACTAAAGGTCTCTTGTATTTCACTGTGTACCTACCATGATTTAACTAATCCCTTGTTATTGCCCCTTTAGGTTACTGACAGTGGTGGCCGATATATAATACCGACACTGTGCACATCCTATTTTTATGCTTAGGTTATAGTCTTTAAGTAGAATCAAAGAATATGCGCACTTTCGGCAGTTTTGGTACATATTGCCCAATTGCTTTTCAGAAAGGATATATCAACTTAGGCTCTCCAGTCCTATGAGAGTGTCTCTTTCACTACATCCTTCCCAATACTAGGTATTATTATTATTTTTAACTGCAAATTTGATAAGCAAAATAGTGTTTCGTTGTTACTGCTTTATTTTTCTTTATTATTATTATTTTATCACTTGGACTTTTATTTTTTTATAGGCCAATTAGTCATTGGTAATTCTCTTGACAAATTGTTTGATTATGTACTTAGTTTTCAATTGGAATAGTCTTTTTTCGTTTTATTTGTGCAGTATTTTATTATTATTATTTAGTGTAGTTTATTCTTTTTGTCTTACTGATTGATAAGGGTACTTGATGAATATTCAGTCTATTAACTCTTTGTCTTTTTTATATTACAAATATTTTATCCTAGATTGTCATTTGCCATTTAGTTTTGTTCACTATTTAAGCATTTGTAAAAGTGAAATGTCCATGCAATCGAGGTAGTCTGTCTAGGCTTTCCGAACGACTGGGCTGGAGTGGCCATGACTGGGAGCAGGGAGGCCCATTGGTGGCCCCTGCACTGGTACCAAGGTGGCAAGACGAGGCCCGCAGTCAGGGCCAGGCTGGAGAGGATGGAGCTGTGCAGTTCAAGACAGAGTAGAGGTGATCAAGTTGTGGTGATCTTGAGTGGGGGAGTGAAGAAGGAGGGAGAGGAGTCTGGGGTGACTCACAGGGTGCTGACCTGTATGGCAGAGTGAGCAGGTGGAGGAAGAACCAGAATCGGGAATACAGGAAGAAAGGGGCTAGGGGTCCGGCGCAGAGACTGTTGTAATTCCTCTAGGGATTGTTGTTGGAGCCTCCTGGTAGAGAGCCCTCTTTGGTGTTTGAATCTGTAGGCCTGGCCTTGCTTCTGTCTCTGTGTCAAGCTCGGAGAGGCTTTCTCTGCTACAGAATTATAGATGTAAATAAATTCTCTTTTAATACTTTGTTTCATCTGTTTTTTTAGGATTTTTTTTTTTTTTTTTTGCAAACCAACACTGTTTTATTGTCAACAGAACCTGCCTGGGGAAGTAGGGGGCCCACTCTGCCCCCAGAGGGGCTATGGACCTTGGTTGTCTGGGGCCCATGGGAGAGATGGGTCTGTACAGTGAGAACAGCTCTGGCCACCACTGGCACCTGGGTGGTCAGAGACAGGGTCTGGGGGGCCAGCAGGGGGCATGGGAGCCCCCGGGGAGCTGGATCTTGGCTCCCCCTGGCTCATCTGCAGGAGGCCAGTGAGGGCTATCAGCTCAGGCCCACTGAGACAGGCGGTGGAGCAGCCAGAGGATGGGATGGGGAGGACCCAGGGGGACATTACTGGGGGTGGGAGCAGCAGTTTCAGAGAGCCCATCACCTGCTGAGGGGCCTGAGACAGGTGCAGGGGAGCATGCTGCCCACAGGGCAGCAGAGGGTCAGAAAGAAAGACGTCTTCACAGCGTGTCACTGGGAACCCTGCATCCCTGGGTGCCTGCTCTCCACTCTGATGTCCTGCTAGATGGGCCTGAGGCCTCTGCCTGATGCTGCCTTGTACAGAGGCCAGAATGAGGGATGGCATGAGGTCCAGCCTGAGAAGGAGGTGCCTGACCCACAGCTGGGTCCCCACACCAGCCGAGGTCCCGCTTGCGCCTCATAGTTGGGGTCCCAGGATGCCAGCAGGGTCATCTTTGACGGGGCCATCTCCCAGGTCGTCTGTGGGGAGTGGGGAACTGGGGCTCCCGGGGACCACTCGGCAGCCAGGCCTGGGGGCGGCCAAGGCAGCAGCTGCTCTTTCCAGTCCAGGAAGGCCTTCGGGACCAGGGCTGAAGGCTGTCCTGTGGGGTGTTCTTGGTTCCCCCAGGGCTTCCTCTCCAGAGTCCCAGGCCTGGCACCTGCTCTTCACCGGCACCCCACCGCCGAGAGGTCCAGGGCAACATGCCACATCCAGGGGGAAGGCAGGGCAGGGCCCTGCGCCGCCCGGCCCGCCTGCCAGGCCCCTCCCGGCTCCCACTCGGGCCCAGCTTCCCTCAGCGGCCCGTGCTGGCCTGTGCGCCCCTGCGAGCCCAGGTTGCGGCCCACCTCACAGGCTTTACATTTAAATGTGGATGGAATTTGTCATATTTTGGTGATTGTGAGTTAAAGATTTAACTTTTTTTCCCCTAAGTGACTAATGATTAAAACATCTATCCTTGCTCTTGTGATCTGAAATAACACCTGTGTCTTACAATATATTTCCATGTATATACCTGAGTCTGCTCTAGAATTCTCTGGTGTGTTCCACTGAATTGTCTGCTCCTGCCGTTCTGATCACATTTTCTTTAAATATATCTAATAGGTGCTAGGGTAAGGTGTACTTCACACTTTTTTTCCTCAGAATTTCCTTTGTTCTTTTAGGATGGACTGCAAAATCATTGTAAGCCCTGCTCCCTTGGACTGCACAGTGGGAGCTGGAAACACGGGTGACCCCATTGGGACCCTTTGTATTCATAAGCACCAAATATACCAGGAACTGGGTTTGGTGAGCCTGGACTTTCTTCTTGATACAGAAATCACATGGGGCCTCTTTAGGAAGAAGCCCCTCACTGCCATTGACTTGGGGCATCGCCCAGTCTCTGGCCCAAAGACAGTCCTGTGGACCCTCAGAGCCCCTATGTCCTTGCTGCTGTGGCTGTTACAGCACCCAGCCATATGCTCCCCACTGTAACCAAGCCAGCCTATACTGGGGTTTTATTCTCCATCTTGCAGGCAATCCTGTCTCTAGCCTGTGCCCTCAGTGTGCTCTCCAAGCCTGGTGTCCTCTAATGATTTTCTGTAGGTTAGCTCTGAGGATCTTTTCTTTTCTTTTTTTTTTTTTTCCAATATTTATTTATTTGGCTGCCCAGGGTCTTAGTTGTGGCACACAACTTCATTGTGGCGTGCAGGATCTTTAGTTGCAGCCTGCAACTAAAGTTGCAGCATGCATGCGGGATCTAGTTCCCTGACCAGGGATCGAACTCGGGCCCCCTGCATCGGGAGCGTGGAGTCTTAACCGCTGGAACACCAGGGAAGTCCCTGGGGATCTTTTCTTAATCTGTTCTTAAATGTGTTTCTTCTAGAGAATTCATAATTGGCAGCATTGTGATGGCTTCTTCCTAGTTTCTTCTGTGCATGTAAGTTTTCCCCTATTTCTCATTTGCTAGGCTTTTTCTTATTTAAGTGACTTTTTCAGGGTCTTTTTTATTGAGGAGTCATGAACATACCGTAAAGTCACAAATCCTAAGCATACATCTCAGTGAGTTTTTATATATGTGTACACTGTGGATCCACCACCCTGATCAAGATAGGTGTTTTAGAGTTAAGAAGCTGTTGGTGGGAGGTTGGGTAGAGAGGGAAGTCATGAGTGTGTCCCCAAGTTGCCATCTTTTTCTAGAACTGCCTTTAAAGAGTGTTAAGGAGGGAGCCACATATCAAGTCTATACGGTATGTGGAGAGCAGAATGGTTAGGAGTGATGGGTCATGTTTTGGTCCTCCCCCTTCCTAGCCATGGGACTTTTGTGCCTCAGTTTCAACCGTTGTAAAATGGGAGTAGATGATAGCTCTTACCTCACAAGGTTGTCATGAAGATTACACAAGGAAGTACATGTAAGTGCACAAAAAATGTTAATTGTTGTTTTTGTTGTTATTAATAATGAGGAGGAGGAGGCAGTAGTTCTTAATGAAGGGCACACATCAGAATCACCTGGGGCACTTTTGCAAAATATACATTCTCAACCTGGCCAGATGTACTGAGTCAGAATCTAGATTTTAAACACCTCCCCAAGTCATCGTGTTGCTTATCTTGGTTAAGAACCACTGGGCTGGAGGTGGCCATGACAGGCTGCAGGAAGATCAGTGGGTGGCCCCTGCGCTAGTGAGGGCTGGAGGATTGAGCTGTGCAGATTCAAGGCAGAGTGGAGAGGTGGCCAAGATGATGACCTTGGGTGGGGAGCAAGGAGGGAGGGGGAGGAGTCTGGGGTGACTCACGGGGTGCTGACCTGAATGGCGGCTTGAGTAGGTGGAGGATGAGCCAGAATTGAGACTATCGGAAGGCGGGGTGGGCAGTGGGCCAGAGATTGTTATAATTGTCCTTGGGGCTATTGAGTGGAGGCTTCTGGTGGAAGCACCAAGTTAGTATTTGGATCTGTAGGCCTGAGCCTTTGGTGATTTTCAGGGAGTCATCACTGTGAAGGAGGTAGATAAGCCACGGGTCTAGTCGTAGAATGAGTGTAGAAGGCAGGAGAGGGCCAAGTTCACAAGCATCCACCTCTGGGAAGGCCTGCGTCCACTACTTCCTCCCTCCTTAGAGACAGAAGCACTTATTTCTCGTGTATTAGTAGCCCCCTTGCTGAGGACTGTTGGGGAGTAAAATCAGTCTTCTCACTTGAAGATGAATAATAACTACGGGTCACTTCCTTTCCTCACAGGTCTCAAGGGTTTCCACATCTGCAGACGGAAGAGCTTAATCCTCCATCAGTATCCTCCGACAGCACATTCAGTTGGGGGCAGTGTCTTATCTTCCGACGTCCGTTCACCCTCATGCTTCACACATACTCTGCCACTGATGGTTTCTTAGACTCTGGCTTTCTTCAGGCCCTTGATATCAACCAGTTACCCTTTGGTAAGAGATTAAGCCATTCCACTACTCTCCCAGAGGCATTTGCATTTAGAACTACAGGTATAATAGAAATAATGGAAGATGTTGCATTCCTGAGGGAAGGCGATCCTGGAATGAATTATTCATTTGCTCATTCTAGAACGTCCCATCCTTCTGCCCTGCCACCCCCTCTCTCTATTCCTGCTCGTGCCTTGGTAAACCCTACTTCCTCCAAGAAGACTTCCCCGACTCCTGTCCCTTCCAGGTGAGGCCAGTTTTAGGGCTCTGAACAGATTCCATTTGGCTTCCCAGTTGAGGGTGGAGGTGGCAGGGATGGATCTCAGGAAGATGTAGCTGCAGGATGGATGTGCATTAGGTCTCTGCATTTCAAACTTCCAGTGAAAAATATATCTTATGTCCCAATTACCGCACACACCTACATACAGATATATAAAACTGAAGCAAAAATTTTGTAAAAATAACACTCACTACGTGTGATGCATTTGGATATTTTCTGTTCTATTTATTTTTTAAAGGAAAATGCTGGTTATAACCCATTGAACTGATTTCACAGCCCAGTAATGGGTCACAACCCACAGGGTGAAAAATGCAGAGTGAGATCATTACTGCTCAGAACAACTCTGAACACAGCCAAGGGGCCCTGTGCCGATGTTGCCCTTTGGGTGCCTCGAAGAGCTTGCAGATGATGGCACTGGCAGCGGTGTGGTCCACCTGGTGGTGCTCTGCTTTCTCCGTGGAGTCTCCTTTCAGGGCCCCAGTTGGTTGTGCCATGAAGTGGCCACAGATGCTTTCTCCGTGCTGTGGAAGGAGGTTGAAGTCTATAAAGCACTCCATACACCCCTCAGAAAGATGCTGGCTCAGTGTGAAGTGTCACAAGGCTGTATACCTCATCCCATTTGATGAGGCTCCTCATGGAGACAAAGCTTCCAGGCCCCGTGGGGCTCACTGGTGCTGCTCACCTGGGAGGGCTAATGGATAACAAATAGAATAAAAGCAAAACAGGGAGCTCTTGCCTGCAGCGTAACAGTGACAGAAACATCTTCCTGGTTAGAGGATGGATGATAAATATACGTAAGGAACATTCCAGGGGGCAGTGAGTCTTGAGCCCCATCTCCCTTTGGAACTGGAAGTTACTGAAAACCGAACCCACAGAAATAGCTACCTCAAAACCCCTGCATTTATCCCTCTGAGATCCTCAAAGCCTGTTGACATTTACTTAGTACACTTTTCTAAGAAAAGTGGCTATCTGATGTCTCAACCCACTGCAGAAGAAAATTGCCTGGAAGGGTGGTGGTAGGTCTTTTCCAGAGAGAGACATGTAGATAACAGGAAAGTAAAAGCCATGGGGAAGGATAGAGAAACAGTAAGAAGGGGACACAATCATGTTATTATCTAGTTCCTTAGGGAATGTTCCTAATGACCACTTATGTGGGGAAAGGACATTTTTTAAAGCATTAGAGAGCAGTGGACCACATTTTAGCAAGATTTCACTTTAAAGTGGTTGGGCATTGAAGTTTCACTTTTCAGGAAAAGTATTCATGAGAACCTCAGTGATTCTGCATAAATTAGGTGCTGTTGAACTGCCCCTGATTAGGACTAGTCATGGGTTTGAGGCATGCTGTAATCTCAGGTTCACGGGCAAGTCCTCCCCACCCAGCCCTAGTCAGCCTCATAGCCTGAAACCCCTCCATTACTGTTACTGTTGGGTTCCGTTGTTCACCTGTGTGAATTTGTGAATAAATTCTTTCCAATCTGAAAGCTTCTTGATAGTGGCTTCCGGATATTCTGAAGGTAGATGTAGAGAGAGAACTCTGATCTGGACCCCACCTGAGGATGGGGTGGCCTAAATGACCAGAGAGCAGGACAAAACCACTGGGATTTGGACTGTGGTGAGCTTTTAGGGAGGAGTGGGGGGCAGGCTTGGAAGCCAAGTTCCACCCTTTTCACTGCTTTCGCTACTTGAGGACAGCCCACTCACTGAGACAGAGCCAGGCCTCTGTTTCTTCCATAGCCTGTCCCCTCGCGGCTCACTGGCCACCTGATCCCCAGATCTGCTTCTGTGAGTTACCCTGAGTGACTGCAGGGGTGCTCCAATAAGTAAGGGGACCTCAAAGAAAAGCCAGCTGTTTCTGAGACAAAGATCATTTATTCCATATCGTCTGAGAAAGCAACCTTTAAGTAGAAGGCAGTGGGGTTGGTGGTGTGTCACACCACCAGGAGGTTTCTGTCTTAACAGTAGATTGCTACATAGTGTGCGTGCATAATACATTACAATTCTAGTACTGATATTTCCAAATGCCCTGTGACTACAAAACGATGAAATTTCTCCCCGGGGGAGAATGACAACAATAAACTAAAGTAACAATACCAAAAGTCTCTGAAAAGATCTCAGGGGTTTGCGGGACTCCGGTGGTGGCGCAGTGGTTAAGAATCCGCCTGCCAGTGCAGGAGACATGGGTTTGGGCCCTGGTCTGGGAAGATCCCACATTCCATGGAGCAAGTAGGCTCGTGTGCCACAACTACTGAGCCTGTGCTCTATAGCCCGTGAGCCACAACTACTGAGCCTGTGCGCCTAGAGCCCGTGCTCCTCAAGAAGAGAAGCCACCGCAATGAGAAGCCAGTGCACCGCAACGAAGAGTAGCCCCCGCTTGCCACAGCTAGAGAAAACCCGTGCGCAGCAACGAAGACCCGATGCATCCAAAAATAAAAATAAGTTAATTAAAAAAAAAAGATTTCAGGGGCTTTGGCCAGAAATGAATTGGGGCTTGGTGTGGTGGTTCTGAGAAGCTGCCTAATGGAATTCTTTTTTTTTTTTGGTAGGAATATAATGTGAAGGGTAGAGAAAAACCACTCGAGCTTAAGCACTCTGACTAGTGGAAATTAGATTCTGATGATGAAATCAGAAATGATTTTAACAGGGAGAAGAAAGGGCATCAGCAAAAGAAGACCAACGAGCTTAGATTTTCAATGAACCTACTGTTTTCTCACATGTACACGGGCTACCTGGTGTGTGATACACCCATGTCAGAACGTCCAGAAGGAGCAAAGTCCAGAATTAGAAGAGATTGTAAAGGAATCCCAACCAGCACAAAGGTTGCTTGTCTGCTTCCTTATTGAAGTCAAGAGGAGGAACAAGGCAGACAGGCCTTCTGCTGGGGGGAAGCACAGACTATTCATGTCAGAGAGAAAAAAAGGGGGCCCAATTCCCATTTGCTTCCAACTCTGCCTCCCTTGAGAATAGCCCCCAAACTGAGGAGAAAAAGTAACATCATATGGAATGAAATGAGGCTCCCGACAGTAGAGGAGATGTTAGTGGAACCCTCTTCCCGGGGGCAAAGACCGCTGTCACATTTCCCATCTAGGCTGACTCACGTCCCTGAATCAGTGCTTCCAGGGAGAGGCGGCCTAACTAGAGACAGATCCATTTATTAGTCCTAGATTTCAACATAGATAAGGAAACTGAAACCTGTCCTTTTCAGCAATTTTTAACATTTAAATCAATAAAGACCCACTAGGTAGGCTTCTCTAAGCTAAAGATGACGTAGCTCTGGGAGGGACAAGTAAATGGCTTTGGGGTGACAAAGTCAGGATTTGAAAGTCTTATCAGGGTGGAAAAAGAGGACATTTTATAAGGGAAAATTTAATATATTTGGGTTCAACAAATTTAATCATCCAAGTGCGTAATGGGGGTGTCTGAGATGGGCTTGTGGAGGGGCCTGAAGGGGCTGGTTTTCCACAGGCTCCTTGTGGACCAGGAGTGTGGGACTCAAGAGAGCCCAGGCACACACCGGAGGTGCCAACCCAGAACAAAGGAGGGGGTGCAGCCCATTTCCACTCCCTGCTCCTTAGGACACGTGACTGTCCAGTGTGGGGTGCAGGCTTCTGGAGACTAACCAAGAAGGAAACATTCAGGGCAGGTCATCAGGTTGGAGAGGGTCTGGGGACAGAGCAGTGGGTGAGGTGGCAAGGACCATCAGCTTTGGGAAGAGAGGTGAGTCCAGATGCCCGAAGAGTCTCCTGAGAGTGAAAGGGGAAAATTCTGTATGTCCAGAGGGCGGCCCAAGTTAGAGGGAAGTAGGCCTAGGTTCTGCTTGAGGAAGACGCACTGTGTCTTCCCTGTCAATGGAGGGTTTGTATGACCTTTGGATGGCCTCCCTGCCAGGGACATCTCAGAGGGGATGCCTAGCGAGGTGGCATGAGGATTCTAAAGTTCCTTCCCAAGATGCTCCCTCTGCCACGGACGAGGAGTCCGCAGAGAGCACCTTTGCCCAGGCACTTTGGAGTAAGTAGCTGTACAAGGGCAAACTGAGGCTCCGGGTTCAAGTCCTGCTTTGGTCGCTTTGTGTGTTACCTTTGACTAGTTATTCTCTGCATCTTGGTCCCTTCATTAAAAATATGGATCATGGCAATAGTACACTCCTACCAGGACTTCTGTGAAGTTTAATTGAGTTAAAGAGAGGCATTTAGAACTATTCCACAGCCTTGGTAAGGGCTGTGTACCAGATAGCTTCAGTGATGGTCATCCACTCATTGTCACCACCACTGCCACCTCCGCTGATTCATCACACAGTGCTGGAGGAGTAGCGATGAGCAGGTTGGCTCCCTGCCTTCAACAAGTCAAAGTCCAGTGTGGAAGGTGGAGGAGTGTCGCATGTGGGGATGGGGTTTGGGGGAGCCCAGGGCACGGCCACTGGCGGAAGGCTTGTGGGGCGGGGTGGCAGTCCAGGGCCTCCTTCCTCTGAGACCAGCTCCTGAAACCATGGCTTGGCTCCACAGCATTTCCAGGCATCCCAGGGCTGCTGTCTCGTCAGTCCAGTGCTCTCCCTGGCTGTTTGCTCTGGGGGTGGCTATGCACGAGGTGCCCCTTCTGCACCCCACCAAGTGCTAGGACTGACCAGGCTGGCTTGGCAGGTCCAAGGGTATAGGAGTGCCACAGGGCCCCCCGGCACAGCTGGGGCCCACAGACCCTATTCCTGAGCTGTAGGGCCCCAAACGCTAAAGCTCCCTGAGTGCCTCCTCTGTGCCCGGCACTGTGCTGGGTGTCCTCCTGCAGAGTCATGGCACGTCGTATGCCGGGAGACAGGTGGTATCAGTCATCCCCATTTTACAGCTAAGTAAACAGGCTGCGACATTAAGTGTCTTGTAAAGGGCAGGGCCAGGACTTGGACCGAAGATTTCCAAGGCCAACATTGGGTGCCATTTCCATACCCCACCAGAGGTGACTCAGCCGAGAGCCCAGCCCTCGGGAGGGGTTGGAGCCAGAGGTCTGACGGCTGACTGCTCCAGCCCCGGGGAAGGGCCAGAAGGGCTCTGAGAGCCCTAGCCTTCCAGGCCTGTCTCCTGCTCCCCGAATCCCTGCCTCCTCATGAGATCCCCCTCACGAAGCCAGCGCCCGCCTGGGAAGTGCTCAGGGGACCCCGTCTTGCAAAGTGGTCCCTGCCTGCTCACTCTTCATGGAAACATCTCTCAAGTGGTCATTTTGAAAAA